TTTCAGTAATTAGTATTTCAGTAATCATTAGGGTATATATATATATCCTAATGATTACTGAAATACTAATCATATACATATATACATATGTATACATATATGTGTATACATATACATATATACATATGTATACATATATGTGTATACATATATACACATATATATGTGTATATGTATATACATATGTATATATGTATATACATATACACATATATATATATCCAACAAGGTTAAATAAATATGTGTGTGTGTTTGTGTACATGTGAGCATGTGTGTATCAGACTACCGAGTGCCTTAGACTTCAGAATAAAGACTGTCCATAAAAAAATGTTCCTATAATGAAAATCAGTTGTGCTACAATCATACCAACTCCAAATGATGCACACTGTGCAGACTGCATTCTCAAAGCTATAAAAAGTGAGCATGCTGTTCTTTTAATGTCAAAGTAGTCATTAATGTGCCATGATGAATAACAGGAGTTTATGCCAAAAATCCTGAACACAAATTGATGGCTTCATTATAAACCAAAGCAGTAGTAAATGCTATGTAAAGGGCTAAATACTTCTCACCAAAACCACTACCAGATTAAATAATTAAACATTTATTTTGCAAAATCAAATTTTATTTCAATAATATTAATGTTTTAGAACTGTGGAAATCTGTCAGTGGAAAGGAGTGCATTTGCACTAGGTAATTTCAAGCTTTACATTTCATTTTTTATAGACCAGCCCTGTAATTTATTGTCAAAAAGCAACACTTTTCAGAAGTACTAATAATAATTAGTGGAGGATGGCAGGCACAAACTGACGCTAGTCCAGGCAAAGCAGATCATATGGTTATCTTACCAGTAATTGAAAACACCAACAAATCCAAATATCCTGTAGTCTATTAAGGGTTTTGTAATCTTAGTTTAAAACATGGAAGTCTGCCTCTTCTCATTATATGTATATGGAAGGGAGAGAAAGACTGTCTCTAACACCTCTTCTGAATAAATTCCAGTCCTATTATGCCCCTGTGTGGCCGGACGGCACAGGAAATTCACTGCCACACATTTAGTTACAAAGAAATAATCACATCTGGAAAAAATACAGATTTCTTCTCCGTACAAGAGAGGTTACTCAAAATCGGTAAATGGAAAAATTTGAAGGATACGAATCAAGCACATTTTCCTGCACATTTTATCACAAAAGATAGATATCATATCTTGTCCATTTGAATACTGCTCAAAGCAATTGAGTACTCAATGCAGTGAACTCTGTTAAAAATATATCTTCTGGCATCCTGATATTACTTACGTTTGCTTCCAAAGACAAGCTCACAAAATGATTTAAGCTTCATAATGATTTTAGCACTTGAGGATTTTTTTATTGGCAACAAAAGCAATTATCTTTGTATCTGATTAAATATTTAATTTGGAAAAATGAGTTGATAGTAAGGAAACTTGATAACAAGAATTTAAATTAAAGTGGCATTTCATCAAAACCTGTCAAAGTGGATTTATGCAGGATGCAGATCCTGATTTTTTTTCTTGCTTTACCTTCAGTTGTTTCATATTAGCTGTAAAAGAACAGAGGATATCCTACCACTGCCTTTATGCACATTTTAAAATGGTACTCAACAACCACAATGATGAGAGAAAAAGCTAAGAAGTTTCAGTTTGAAACATAAGGGTTGGTCCCTATGGCTTCCAACAAGTCTAAAATATTCTAATGATTTTCACTCATAAATAAATTTCAATTATGCACTTGATAATAAAATACTTTAACAATCTATATTCATCAACAATTTAGTAATTTAGTATCCAGAATATATTACTGGTGTATTTAAAATCTTGGCTCTTTTGACAAGTTGAACCTGTAAATGTCTTTGGAGTAACTATTATGGGAGATTTTTGTCTTTGAACACTTTATCTTCCATGTCATAGAAGTAAACTGCCCTACCATCTGAAACCTGATGCAAATTGAGTTGCAGATTTAGGGATTACTTACCAGATTAGTTACCTGGGAAAAGTCTCAAGATTACTACTACTTGAAAGGTCCCCTCAACAACATATCATGTATAATCAATGCATAGTACTATTTTAGTAATTTCTCCTAGAAAGCAATTTAGAATAAAATATATTCCAATTGTCTATATCTCTGATGTTATTTTTCCATCAGCTTAAAGATCATAGATCATGTCACAATACAACTACTGAATATTCCATTCGAACTAGTCCAAACAATCAAGTGATTACTCTACATATTGTAACAACCAAGACTGCTCTTTCCAGAGACAGTGTTACATAATTGATGCTTCAAATCCCAAAACCATTAATGTCCAGTCCACAAGGTCAAAAGGCTCGTTATTTAGAAACATTTTTAAAGTTGTTGTAAGATCACACCTAATGACATACCAGCGTCCTTTTTCCATGACTTTTCCTTCAAGAATGATTTATTAGTCTACATCTTACTTTCTGATTCAATGCTAACTGAAAGGTTGATGTCTAGGCATTTGTATATTTTTAAAGAACCTCAGCAGAAAAAGAGTTCTAAAAGACCATTATATCTGATCTGAACACAAGTAACCAAAACACTAAAATATGTGGAGGCATTAATTGTGAGTTATATAAACTTACTTTCACTCTTCATACTTCTAAAATAATAACTATTGGCACAACTGGTTTTGACTGATTTTGAAAGTAAATCAAGTAGTTGATCATTTATGAAAATCAGTACATCTACATGTGAAAAAATGTCATATGTTTCTTGAAGACTAAGAAGTTAAAGAACATATAAAGCAGGGATTTTTTTCCCCTGAAGCAGAATACGTTTTTATTGATTAGTTGGTAGTTTCAGATAATCTTAGGTTTAAAAAAACCAAAATAAGGTTAAGTAAGACTGGTCTTACAGAAGCATCAGAAACTTCACATTTTAATGCTTGATTGCAACAGCATAAAATTCTGGATTTTTAATAATGAGAGCAATGCAATCATAAATACATGCCAACAATAAAAGAAACTTGAAGCTAAAGCAAAAGCAGAGTGATAGGGATCCACAGTTCCGTCAAGATATAGATATTCCCATATTTTAACACTAATGTTTCCTTTAAAACTAATTCCTTGCCATACTGTTAACAGCACAATTCCTAACATGAATATACATCCAGACCTAACATTAATATTTTTAAACACATAAGTTCTTGGCATTAAAAAAAAAAAAAGATAGAAATCAAGCAAAGAAAAGATTTATAAAAGATGAGTACAAATCCTGAAACTCTGGTAGCTTCAGGTCATGGAAATTTTAAGAAAGCCATACTGCCTCTTTTATTTAAATATAACATGCAAGACAGATTATTTTTACCATAAATGACAGACACTCAAGTGATGTATTACTAAATTAAAAAGCCCGGTATCTTAAAATATAGATAGCCTGTTACAGAATATCACAGCACTTCACATACTGTTATATATTTTAAATTATCCAAAAACTAAACATAAAAAAATAGAATTTGTCAACTGAATAAAACTGTCCTGAGGAAAGAAGTGAAATTTTATAAAAAACAGATATGTTACTTCACATTCAATGAAAAGGTCATCAATATATTTATCCTCGGTAAGCATTTTAAATGCCCACAAATTTTAAAAGCCTCCTTTTCCTTTGCTAAATTAAGACACATACTGTGTAATAGTTTTTTTTTAATCTCTAAATAGGCTGCCTCACATTGTTCAGAAGAGACCAGAAGAACCATTCAATATTCTGTGCACTATTACTTCTCCCTCAATTTCCAGAAGGCTTTAGTGCATTATTATCATGTTCAAAAATTTCTTCCTCAGTCCTTCTCCACGTATATTTAGTTAAAATGGGGTCTTTTCTACAGTAGGTATATAACATTAGACATTCTCACAACGTAAACAGCTGGGTGATAAAACTGCATTTTAAAAGCGTTCTTTAATAGGCTGTCTCTTTTCGTGTAAGCCAGAGAAACCGTCTAAAACATATGTTCATAATTTCACAATCTTCTCCACACACATAAAATGATGAGGTTGAAAAAGCAATAGGAATTCATAACAAAGCATCCTTTCAAACTAGCTGACCAAATACAAAGCAATACTAGCAGTTTGATAATACAGCTTGTTTAAAAGTGATTATTGATCTACTCTGCATAGAGAAATGTCTCAGACCCAGGAAACATCTTCCGCATGTTTTACAAAGAGCATGCATGACTGCTAATTCATATTTTCCAACAAATCACATAGGATTATATATCCCCATCCCTATAAATGCATTGTAATCACTGCCATGATCACAAAGAAAAAAAACCTATCAGGCATTTTAAATTGATCATTTTAGTTATTAGAAAATGAAATCATGAAACAGCCTGTATTATGTTTCAGAGGTCAAACTAGTTAAATTTAAGATGCTTTGGGGGGCTTTGAAGTAAGCTTATTTTCCTTCTCAAAATTCAATTAAGAAAAATGCCACATAAAATTTTATATTTGTGATAAGAAGACAACACCCTTATCATACCAACATTTCAGTACAGAACAATTTTTACAGGCATATCAGATTATTATTCAGAAAACATCAATGCTGAAGGAAATAGAGTTTAGCTTTACTCACCTTGCATTGTTCAGCGTTTGTCCAAAAAGCTCATTTTGTAAAATATTTGGTGGGGATGAGAAAACCCCATGAAAATGAGATAAGACAGAATTGCAGACCTGGCGCAATGTCTCAAATTGCATTTTCTTTCTTTTCCCCCCCCCTTCTCTTATTTTTCCTTACCACCTGTCTTTAAAGTCATCTATTTGCAGACACCATCAAATAAAAACATGCCAATCAAGTTCCATATTTCTCCTGAGCTCTGTAGAAACTGTGCTTAAATGAGCAGAGGTTGATAGTTAATTGTACAGTCATTATTCTTCTAATTCAGTCGTAGAAGATTCAGTGCCCGTACAGCTTTCGGCTTTCTCCTGACTGTAGCAAGAATTCTAAACAGCAGTAAGCTTTTTGGGCATTCCCAGCTGAAGTGTGAAGCTGAGCTGCTCTCATGTACTCTACTTATATTTCTCTAAGCCTATTAAAAACACGCAATGAATAGATGCTGTCGTCAGGAGTTTCAGCACATCTGGCTGCCAGCAATAAAATCTCAGAAGTAATAAAAATGGGGACAAGGTATCTTCTCAATGTTACTACTGGGTAAGAAGGAGAGGAGTTCTGCATTTCCCAACCCTTTTTTCTTTCCCTGGAAAACAAGCAACTCCAGCAACAGAGTATGTAGGTCTCTTCACTGTGCAGGCTGCTGCATAGGACCAGAACACTCTAAAAATAAGCGGTATATCCTTCTTTTGATATCGTGAAGCAATAAGACAGACAATACAGACAATAGGGCTTTTATTGCCTGCATTCACAATGCTGTGCTTCCAAAGAGACATTTGGAAAACATGAACTTATTCATCTTAACTTCTTCATTTGAAAATGTCTTCATTTGGTTTTAAAGAAAAATGAGTAACATTCAATCCAGTCTCTTTCCAAAGGCCGTACATATTGACTACATGATTATTTGTGCAATTTTAGAAAAAAATTATTCTCTGCTACTCTATCAATTAAAACTCACTTAGGCAGCACACATTGAATGTGAACTTTTCCACAAGTCAAAAAACACAAGTAAGGCCAGGGACTTTATCAACTATTATTAATTTATTTCAATAAATGGTGGTCATTTCTCAGAAAAGAATATTTCCTGAAGGCTCCAATTGTCTTAGAGTACCTCAGATCACCATCCATTCTTAAAAGAGTAATTCTGGTTTAGATCAAATGTTTGGGTTATTAAATATCCATGTGCATCCAATCTTACTACAAAAGATGCTCTAAAAGTTGTGTGTAAACCAAATTTTAAAAATCAACTCACTCACAGGGACAATTAATATTTTTATTGCTCCTTAACTACTCCTAAACCATGACATTTCTATAACAAGTATATCCCTTTTAGGCCTTTTTTACCTCAACTTTTAGCCCTCACCCTTTCCATCCCCTTCCACACATATACCACTAGCAATAAATAACCAGGCACTTAAATACACTAAGAAGTTTTTTTAAAAACTGGTGAATTCTTTGTTGACATGAATAAGCATTTCACAAAAGAGCAACACAAAATAAACATGTAATAATGCAAATTTTTAAGTAATTTCTTTCTTTTAGAAATTAAGATGTTTAATTATGGGTTTGTCCTCAACCAAGAGTGCCCCTGTTTTGCTTATTATTTATTATTTTATATTTTTATGGGTGCACATTCATCTACTTATGAAATATATATATGTAATAACTATAAAGTATTTTTTGGCTTATAAAGTACTTCTAAATTTATTTTTTTAATATCCAGAAAATGTGAGCAAGTGGTAGTTCTGCTATTGTTTCATAAATGAAAAGAAACTGAGGCCTTAAAAGATTGAAGATCACACAGCTTATATAAATAGAGTATCTGAATGAAGATCTCTGCCTTGGACTCCACATCACATGCCCCTTCCCTATCATTCTGTCTTCTATGTGCACACACACACACACGCACACACACACACACACACACATCCATTGTGAATAGATTAGTCTCTATACATGAATAGGAAAACTACCTGCCAGTGACCTAATCAAAGATATTTCAGTTAGAGCAAACATTCCAATGGTTTTAATTCATAAGTAACTTTAAATAGATTTCTTTCCTTTCACTCAAACAGAAGCAACCTGATATGCTAAAAATCTTAAGCTTCTGATCATAAGTGAATTTTTTATATCTATAAAAGGTCAATTTCTATAAGTGGAAACACATTTTTAAAATTCTTAATTTCAAAGCTCATACTAACTGTGATGAATATGTATGTGCATATATGTATGTATGTATATATTTCCCCCTTGCAGGTAGGTTTAATTTGTATAAATAATCAAAAGCCCTTTTGAAGTTAAGTCTGTTAAGTAAGGTGTTACACTGCAAAGCACTCTTCATTGCTATAAAAAAAAAAAAAAGTTTCTTTTGTTTCAGAGTTGGATCTGAAGACAAGGTCATAGGAAGAGTTCCAAAAAATGGTCTCAGCAATGGAAACATCACTAGAATGAACTGCAAAATTACTTCTTTAAAAACTAAAGAAACAGCAACTACCTTCCTCAGACCCTTCTTTTCCAGCTCTCACTATACAACACACACTACTGGTCAGCTTTCTCTTCATTCCCTCAACATTCTAGAAGTGCTTTCTTCCACTTCCCCCTCCCCTTACCAACCTTTCACCTGCTCCCATTCATTCTTAAGGATTCAAATGTCACTTTCTCAAGAAGACTTTCTCTGACTTAGCTTAGGTCCCCTATTATGCACTTTCATCATACCCTGTACTCGTTCTTCATGCATCTGATAAAAGTGTAACTATATATTTACTTGAAAAAAAAATGTTTAATGTCTTTCACCCTCAGTTCCATGAGGTTAAGGCTAAACATTGTTTTATTCTATAGCACAATGCCTAGCACAAAGTAAGTACTTAATAAATATTTGTTGAATGAACAGATGTCTATATTTTATTGAAAAGGTAATTAGCTTTTAGTCACATCCCATAAGTAGGATAAGAAACTGCTCAGGGCTCAATTTGGTTCTTTGTTTCTGTGTTTACTTTAGCCGGCCACATCTTATTATAAGGTTCATAAATACAAAAGCAACCAATATTTGCAATCAAAACCATTGTGTAATTTGTTGGAATATCCTGAATATTTTAAGAATGTTTACAGCTAATATTTGTTTTACATTTTCTATACACTGTAGGCCACATGTAACATAAATACCAGAAGCTTCTACGATGAGAGAAAGAACATGGCACTTGGAGTTTATTGGCCTAGATTTAAGTATTGACTCCAAACCTAACCAGCCATTATACCTCAAGACATCCACTTTATATACCTGGGCTATGGTTTCTTCAAGCTACATCATTTACCTCACAGGGCTATTATTATATTTGAACATGTAATGTATATAAACTCATTTTATAAACTTTAAGGTACATAGTAATTGCAAGTAACCTCACTATGAGCTACCTAAGGAATCACATTATTGGAACCAGGATTCTAACAATTATGTCCTTTTATTTATCATACTTGTTCATGCATTTCTTTATGAATTTCTTTTGTGTAAGGCTCTATCCTTCTGTCTGTTGGATGTTGACAGGATACAATGCTGATACTCACCTCTTTCTGGGAAAATTAGATAATTAGCTCTGTATTTACACTGAGTCCAGCAGAGAAGCATTAAGTCTCACAAATGAAGTTGATGGTGGAAATTTGGCTGTACTATTAGAATCTTTTGTACCTCACCGATAGCGACAAAGCAAACTAGAGCTCTCCCAGAAGAGGTGTTAAGAAACTTCTAGCAGCAGAGGCAATTTTATTAAAGAAGATTTCTAAACAGCATATCAACACGTGAAAAAGTTCAAGCTAAGTAATCAAAGAATTCAAATAAAAATAATCACATTAAAGTGTATGTTTGCCCATGAAATTGGCAAAGTATTGTCCGGAGAGTCAGAGAAGAGGCACCGTCTCATATCAGATTTACTGCTAGAGTGCATTTGGGTAGAACCTTTCTGAGAAATATTTAGTATTATGTACCAAAACTTTAAAAGTGCTCAAAAGCTGACAGAACACTGGAAGAATAAACACTAAAATGTTAATATTGATTATTTCTGGGTGAGACATCACATTTTTTTCTTCCATTGTATTTCTTTATACATTAACCACAAAAAAAGCCCAAAGTTTAATCTACCTGTAAGTAGAGAATTCTACAATTACAATGAAACCATAACCATAACAAATTAAGTATGATGTCAGCCCATGAGCTTTTTCTTAGCAATGCTTAAGTAAATCAAATATTAAGTTTCACGTGAATAGCTTTATGCATTAGCAGAGGTATTCTCTTCTTTGTCAGGAAGTTCCTAAGATTCTATAACAACTCAAATAGTTTAGTTAGTACTATGAAATATCCAAAGGAGAGGGGAAAAAAACCACTTAGCACTAACTCGTTTATTATGTCATCCTCAAAAATACTTGAAGTATAAGCTCTTAAATTAAAATTACTTAAGAGTCTTGGTTTGCAAATGCCTAATGGCTGTGAGCTAAATGTCTTAAGAAATTCACCACAAACTCAAAACCTAAATGAAAGCATAAAAATTGGGAACTTATTCTCTTCTAAATAACAATACAAGCCTCTTACTTGGTAAGGCTCAATATCCCTCATGGCATATTTCAATTTTATAGTTTTAGAGATGTCTGGGTTTATTTTAAATTTTTAGGAGTACGAAAGTGTGCCTACTAAAACGCTCCATACAGGGCGCCTGGGTGGCTTAGTCAGTTAAGCGACTGAATCTTGATTTTGGCTCAGGTCATGATCTCACGGTCCGTGAGTTCGAGCCCTGAATCAGGCTCTGTGCTGACAGTGCAGAGCCTGCCTGGGATTCTCTCTCTCCTCTCTCTGCCCCTCCCATCCACATGTGCGCTCTCGCTCTCTCTCTCTCTCTCAAAATAAATAAATAAAATTTAATAAATAAATAAAATGCTCCATACATGCAAACATTTAAACATAGCTAATCAATAACTGAAACTGTATGATATATAAAATGTATAATCTATAACAAAAATACCAGAAACGTGTTAAAGGAATTTTTCGTTTTCTTAAAATATACATCTATAGTTCTATCTACATAATTGAAACAATTGCACT